TGACGTTTGAGGGTGGGTGGATAGAGGGAATGAGAGGCTTGACTCTTGCCCAAGACCTGTCCCCTGGTTTTCTCTTTTCCTAATGTATGTCCTGCCTTGTTCATATTCCTGTGTTCTCTGATCCTATAATTGCCCCTCAGTGACTGCATTTTGCAGATCCAGGGAACTCAGCCTTGACCTTCCCAGAGCTCTCTTGCCCTAAACTTTGGAATCCCTAGCTTCCCTTCGTCAGACACCTGGATCCCAGGCCTCTCTTTTAAACACCTAGTATGATGGTATCTGGGAATCCTCTAAATACAGGATGATTGACAGGGATTGGGTGAGGGAAATCAGTGCCTGATATTTCACCCTCCTAGGATATGGATTGTCATTCCCTCTCTTTGTGGGCCTCAGTCTTCTATCCATAAAAATGGAGATAGTAATATACATTTGAATGTGTAGATCTCACCCTGAGCCCACCTCTAATACTATAAAGGCCAAGAATGCAATCCCTTTCCTCCTGAAGGTAAGGTCCCCAGAGTGAAGGAGAAGAGGCTCAGGGATGATACCAAGGTGTTTCCAACACTAGCTATATATTGTAGCTTTCACTGTTTAAGTTTACACATCTTTTGTTAAGTCATTCATAAGTATTTTACTTTCGATTTTATCGTAACTAGAATTGTTTCCTTAAGTCTGTTTGGATGGTTCAATTCTTCTGTACAGAAATACAGTTCATTTTTGTATATTGATCTTTTATCCTGTTACTTTCCTCAACTTTTTTATTCTAATAGTTTTTAGTGAATTACTTATGATTTTCTAAATACAAGATCACGTCATCTGCAAATAAAGATAATTGTACTTCCTTTCTAATCTAGATGTCTTTATTTCTGTTGCCAGATTGTCCTGGCTAGCACCTCCAGTACAATGATGAACAGATGTGGTGAGAGTGGATATACTTAGTCTTCTCTTTTTTTTCTTGATCAGTCTAGGTAAGTGTTGGTAAAACTCCCTGCAGAAACTGAGAACTAT